GGGGGGGGGGGAGAATGAAACCTCGTGCACAGGCCGATGCTCTAACCACTGAGCCAAACCGGCTAGAGCTAAAATTTTATTTCTTTATAAAAATGGACAGCTTCCACTCAGCTAACTGTGCTCCCTCCTGTCTTTGTCCAGTGATCAAGGTTTAATGTGCTACAGGAGATAACAATTAAGAGTTCCTGTAGGCCTCAAAGCTCTGTACCAACCATTCAACGACTAGTCCCCACCTACTGGATTTGCAACCATCAGTCAGTTGAGGGGCAAGAGGAGGTGTCCCACGGTAAAAAGGCTACAACAGAGCCTTCTGCAGGCTCTGGTCATTGGTGTCTACGCGCTTGCCATGAGGTGACCAGGGTGCCGTGGAGATCAAATGAGCTTTTGATGAATTTGGAGACGGGGAAAAGTAGCCTGCTGACCACATAGAGAGGCTGTCCTTAACTGTAAAAGGAGATGTCCCACCTTGCTCTCCGCCCTACTCCTCCTTTCTTTACGGCAGAGAAATCAGAGCACAGCAACCACAGAAGGGAGAGGAGGGGCAGAGGGCGGGAGATTGCACATGGCAACCTGGGGTTTTTAGTACAAAAACCAAACAGTGCTCTTCATTTTTTAGGGGAGGGGGAGAGTCCTCACCAGATGAACAGCTTCCATCCCAGTGAATTATTCCAAATGGGAATATGCATTTCTTGGAGTGGATATGTGTAAATGTTGCTAATCGTTCAAGAGTGACAATATGCTTTCATATCTGTGTCATCAGAACGCGCTGACAGATCATAGATCCTGATGTCAGCCATGATGGGATTTGAATGCCTACGCTTATACCTTCCTGACTGAATGGAGACAGACTTGTAATCCCTCTCTCTTTCATTACTCATGTAAAACTTCCAATGCTAGCTTTGCCTGCTCACTCCCCCTCAAAACACAGGGAAGGCTACTATCTAAAGATGTGCATAGTTTTTTCCCTTTCTCAGGTGATGAGAAATATTTCAAAAGCCGAAGGAACGATTACACTTGGCAGTCTGTGTACAGGGCACTACTGATTGGATGCAAAGAGTGAGAGTGTCAGGGGCTGGAGAAAGAGTAATGAGATTGAAGTTGAGGAGCTGATCACCCCAAAGATCTTTACCCCCTGCCAAGCCATCTTGGCATAATCCTAAGAAGGATCCTGGCATCAGGGTGGGTGGCTCTCCATTCCCGTGACAGCAACTACCAGGAAACCCTACAACTGCATGTTGTACAATCATAAAAAATAATTTTCTGGGCTATAGAAATGATCTAATCGTAAAAATCACGAATGCCGCTGGGTCCAGTCTGCCTGAAAATAGGGAGGAAATTAGATGACTCCTGTGGCCCCTCCAGCCCCCGACATCCCTGATGTCCTGGAGTCCAAGAGTTTCCCTGGGAATGCGCTCCTCCTCCTTCCTTCTAACTGCGTCCCTTGGCCTGCAGAGCTCTGGCCTCTCCACATGGATTGGGCACCAGATGTTGTCCCTGAGCAGCCTCCCACCGTGGGCTGTCACCCTGCTGGCATGCATCCTGGTGTCCATCGTCACAGAGTTTGTGAGCAACCCAGCCACCATCACCATCTTCCTGCCCATCCTGTGCAGCCTGGTGAGTAAAGCAGGGCTCCCAGCTGTCCTGCAGTGGCAGGCCTGGGTCATGGAGCAGCTTCCACGCTGTCCTCTCTCCCATGGTCATTTTCACATGGGCGTTCAAACCACAGTTTGAAAAATTAAGTTTTCCAAAGGGCAAATGATAAGTGGATAAATTAATAAGCCACAGCAAGGGTTCTAGGAACCCTTTCTCAAAAGACTAGGGTTCATTTAGGAGCAGCCCTAAATGAAAACGAGAATGAACAAAATAACCTTACTACCCTAGGATTCCAATTCCCCATAATCATCATCAACCTCTCTCTCCTGAGATAAGACCTAATAGCAGGGCGGGAGGAGTAACTACAGAAAATGGAGACAAAATGCTCCCAAAAGTGCACTCAGCCCAAGGACCAATACCACAGCTCTACCCAATTTCAGTATCTGGAAGGTTCTGAGAACCAGGAGCAAGGCCAGCTCATTGCACGACCTCAGAACAATTTGTTATTAATGGAACAGGGCACAGGAGCAGCTGCCAGATCTTAGCCTGGCTAAGCAGCCCCAAAGGTAATGCACCAGACACAACCTGAAATGAAGGCTCCTTCTCATCCCCAACAAAACAATGTCCTCCTGCTTTTTAATTCCAAACTCTTTGCCTGTTGCCTCCCTCCCACCCCAGCCTTCCAGCATCCCGTTAGTGCGAGCACAGGCGTGCACTTAATTAAAACCGTGAGGGCCAGCCGATGGGTTCACATCCATATAGAGCAGGAAGCTCACCTAGAAAAAAGGCCCCTTAGTTCTGTACCCCAAGGGTAAGAGATCTCTCCCTCAATCAAAGCAGCTGATTCATGAGATGTGTGATTGAAGAAAGAATCTCTCAGCTAAAGAATAAAATTTAAAAACCACTTTCTTAGGCCAGAGCTCCAAGAAACGAAGCGTCCCTCCTAGGGGTAACTCAGAGCCCGTTTCCATGGAGAGTAAGCAGCATGAGAACGTTCGGTATGGGCAGCACTGCGTGCCCTTGAGGGCAGATTTTTAACTGTCCCTGCGCAAGGTGTCCGGCCAAGGCTGGTCAGCCCCAAGCCATCATTTAAGCAGGTGTGTGATGTTAAGCACAGAAATGCAAGCCTAACGTCAATACTAATGCTCCTGTGAATTCTCTCTTCTTCTAGTCCGAAACACTGCACATTAATCCACTCTACACCCTGATCCCAGTCACCATGTGCATCTCCTTCGCAGTGATGCTGCCTGTGGGCAACCCCCCCAACGCCATCGTCTTCAGCTACGGACACTGCCAGATCAAAGACATGGTGAGTCATGGGGGGCTCTTCCTGCCAGGCCCAGCTGCCAGGAGGACGGGGGTGACGAGGTTATCTATATGGTCCCCCTCAGCTCTAAATGGCCTTAATTCAGCTCCTTTAGAACCTGCCCCCTCACCTGCTAGGAAGCATAGGCGGTTCTCCACCCTGGTGCCAGATGATTAATACATCCAGGGCTTGTGCCAGAAAGCAGAGATGGGACACGTCCACTCATTTGCTTGGAACAATTTCCTAGCATTCATTTTTCCCTTGCAACATTCCCAACTTAATGCCAGCTAGTGGGCTTGCTGTGGCTACACGCTGTGCTTGGTTACACCCTGGCAGGGCGCCAGCTAGCCTTACTGGACATTTTTCCATCTGCCCTGGCCGTGCCATCCATCATGCCTCACATCTCCTCACCTGTGAGAGTTCAGGCCGAGGCAGAAATGGAAGGGGTCAGAGTCACTGAGGTGACATTCCCTCAGGAGAAAGAAGCAAAGCTAGGTAGCCTGTGACACCTTCCCGTGGAAGGCCTGGGAGAGGCAGCTGACCCGTTCCCCAGGATGAACCCAAGATATACAACTTCTGTGAGCTGGTTCTTGAGAAAAATAAAAAGAGCAACAGTGATAAAGGCTCCATGGAATATAGCCACTCCTACAAGCCCCCCATACCTGTTAGCACATTAAAGGCTCTGAGAAGTCCCTGCCTTAAAGAAACCTGGGTATTTTTGTTTAACACATTTCCCTATCGTGTAGCCACAGAACCCTTTTTTAGTTTAACTCTTAAAGTTCAAATCTCTGGTGCTCTGAGTACATACCTTAGGGCCTCCTGACGGTGGGTGTGCTACAGGTGGAGAGGATTCTCACAGGCTTCTCCCAGCCCCAGGCCCAGCCCTTCCTGTCCTTCCACAGTCCTGTGCTGCCTACAAGGCAACACCAGAGCACCTGAGGTGGCGCCGAGGACAAAGCAGGGTCAAGCGAGTGGCTGTGGCCGTGGCAGGACAAGACTTAGGCGAGGGCACAGATAGGAGGACTCAGGGTTCTGTGCCACAGCCTATTCAGAGTGACTAGGGTATGCTGGTTTGTGTCCTGTAGGTGAAAGCTGGCCTGGGGGTCAATGTCATCGGCCTGGTGATAGTGATGGTGGCTATCAATACATGGGGAGTCAGCCTCTTCGACCTGGACACTTTTCCAGTCTGGGCTAAGGTCAGTAACATCACTGATCGGGCCTAACACAAGTGCCCACAGGAGGTGCCAGCACCCAACAGAATCTGACCATCAAACAGGCCAAGAAAAGCACCAGGAGCTCACAAGCCCACCAGAAGAGTCTGCCATCTACCACCTCAAGTGCAGTGCACAACGCCTCCCACAGCCAAAGCTCAAGAAAACCTACCACTTTCTCCCTTCTTTGTATCTAGTCTCTGCCATCAGTCCTTCCAGAAGACGGCAGGAGAAACCCTGCCCCAGCTGCCGCTCAGAGGCTAAGCCTCACACACTGACCAGCTCACTCGCTTGATGTCATTCTTAACTTCTTAGTCCCTTTTTAGGAGTGGAAGGAGAAATCGAAATCTCCTACCTGTGCAAAGATAGTGAAACCAGTGACATCTCTTTCATAGGAAAATCTCACCTAGAACCTGAGAGCTTACATCAGCTCCTTTCTCTTAAGACTTTCTGTCCTAAGTTCTCTCCACAAAAAGGCAATTCTTAGTAAGCCCTCTTTGTGGCAGTCAGAGCCCTTTTGTCACTGCTCTAATTCCCTTTTAAGCATCTCTCTTCAATGGCTTCTCTTTACCTTGACACCAAATTCCTATAAAGAAACAGTGTACCCCTTTCAAAAAAGGCTGGTGCCGTTCTCTGTCGAAGGAAAAGGAAGCAGAGAAAGAAGACACTGCGATCAGCATCTCTCTCTTCGTTCATTATAAGCCATCGGTACCACTGTGTTGGTTAAGTGCTGGGAGGGAGGAAACATTTTCATCCCTGTCTGACTAAGGAGGCCCAAACTATCACTAAGACCACAGCACTCTTGATGGTATGTGACTGACTTTCTTCTGGATGTAACGAGGAGTTCGCTCCTGAGGAGACTGGCTCAGAAAGGCCCAAACTCATCAGTGACTTTCTGCAAGTAGATGAGCCCTTTGAGGGGAGAGATGTCTTATGTCTCTGAAAGTCCCCAGCTACTTATACAATATAGTAAACTGAAACTGCTCAATAAATGTTTCCCTTGAAAAAATCACTCTGGAAATCACAGCCTCCTTTTTCTTCCTGAAAATCATGCCACCTTCTCCAGGGCAGCTGTGGATAACTGGATATCGCTCCCAAACCACCGGCTTCCTGGAATAATGTATTTCTGATTTCCACCACCAGTAACTTGCTAAATACATCTTATGGGAAAGGAGTACCCCATAGTTATTGTTTTAATTGATTGTAAGTTCCTATTAATAGCATGTGCCATTTTCCCACAATAATTTATCAGTGAAGTCACTCCCTTGGTTTATCAAGTATCTGTGAATTGTCACATTTCTTTCATGCCAGTCAACACTTCAACACTTTCACACTCTGACCACAACATAGGATTGACCAGGTTTAACCAGGAACATTTCCACTTCTGCCCCGTCAATGAGCTTAGGTCAAATTATTTGGCCACTTACAAAAGTGGCCGACCTAATGAGCCTAAAGAAAATACCAGTATTAGGTAACTACAGCTGGTTGGATTGAGCCAGCACCTCAACAGTTATTTTGCTTTCAATATTCAGAAGAGTCAGGGTGTTACTCCTACTACCAGGAGTGGTCAAATGGGTGAGATGTCATGGAACTGAGACATGAAGCCCCTAACTCAGATAATAAGACAAAGGCACAAAAATCAAGAAGATTCTGGGAGTATAAATAACTAAAAAGAGAAAGAAAAGTTGACTTAGAATTATTGGCTACTGCTCATCTACTCGAGAACCTGACTCACTCCTACAGGGAAGCAGTGAAACCCTGCGGCAATTGCTGCCAGATGCTCCGAGGAGCTGAGGCCCTCAACAAGCCAGTTTAGACACAGTATTCATTTCAGTCCAGTCCACTCACCATTCTACAAACCAGAGGTTCAGGCCAAACAAGACTGCTCATTAGTGACAGGAAGTGTGGGGTATGACTAAACGATTCCTTGTCATCTAAAGCCACTCCAGGTTGGATATTAACAGCTCTCTTTAGTCATCTTGTGTCTCTTGTAAATGTACTATAATTTAATTTTTATCTTCTATTAGAGTAACATATGGGTGAAAAAGCTATAAATGATCATCTTATACCAGCTCACTTGACAGGTGGCGAAACAAAGACACTGAGTATAGTTGCATCTTACTGTCAAGTCAATTACATATCAAACTTGTTTAGTCAAAGTTGCCTTTGAAATTCCTTTAAGTCATGAAGTACATGGTATATAATCTTTTACATTACATTTACATGGAAAGGGGGAGAGAGAGAAAAAGACACTGATCCGTTGCCTCCTGCATGCACATTTGAAAAAGTGTATCTAAACACTAGAATCCCTGTATGGCAAGATGTTCAAAGCATTAAGACACAAAGGGGGTGGAAACCACCCACATTCCCAGGTAGCTCATTCTGGGGCTGCCCTCACCGCATGAATGCTGAGCACAAGTGCCTTCGCTATTTACGCGGCTCTGTGTTCTTGTCCCAATGCTGTGCACTGTACATGTTAGAGTGGTGACCCACACGGCACCTTTCCTCAGGCCTCACCGCAGAGGCAGTGGGTCAAGCAGGCCAGGACTCGGGGTTAGCAGTGCCCCACCCATACACTTTCCATAAAACCTGTTCGTTCTTCTGTTTCCACGTGCCTTGCAAATGATACCATCCATGAGGTCTTTAGGAGAGGTATAAACTGAGCATCTGAAAATCTAAATGTCACTAACTCCCTGTTAAGACCAGGCAACGTCTCAAAATATTTTCCCTTTGCCACCCTGTTCCTTCCCACAAGGCCCTAACAGTTAGTGGGAAAAAAGGACTCATTCATCTGAGCAAGGGATGGAAGTGCTACGTGCGAAGGCCAAGATGGGAAGTTTAAGAAAAGCCTCATTTGCTCCAGAACAGTCTACAGCATTCCTCCAAGAGGAGTAACAGAAAAAGCACTAAAAGGCGGGAGACCTCAGCAGGAAAACAAACACTGGCGGTGTCTAGGGAGTGAGCTGCTTAGTGGAAATGGAAATATCACACATGTGTAACATATGTTCAGTGAACCCGTGCACACAGACAACCAGAAAAACCACATGCTTTACAGTCACACAAATGAAAATGAGTTAGAAAAAAGAAACAAAGTTCTTCCTTTAAATCAGAAGCAGGTAACTGCTTAACTGCATAAAACACCAAATCAGAAGAAAACTCTATTAAGACATCAAGTAACTAAAATACATAAAATACCAAATACGGCCCCCTTTGATGATTTTAAATAAGGTGGTTCAGGTTTTTCTCTCTCTTTGCTTGTTTGGGAGGGTTACCATTTAAGGATAAGCATTTCAAGTTCAACGTATTTATTAGGTTCCCAACCTCAATTCTGAAGTCTTATTTTTCATGTGAGTCACCTTCCTTTATGGTCCAGTGTGGCAATAAGTTTTCTTATATCACATCAATGGGAGTTTTCAAACATTCTTAAAGGGAAAAGAGGCATGTGTTGTGGTGGTCCTTCCCATCCCTCCACTGGGAATGTCACTTCCCATGCCATGATTGCAACCGCTGCGACCCCACCCACAACTGCACCCCAAAGCTGTGCTGGCTTGGACTCCTCCTCCGTCTCAGTGAAGATGATCTTGCCTGAGGACTCTGAGCCCCTTTTCACCGCAGCAAGAACTTCAAATGAGGAGAGGGGATGTGACTGGTGCCCATTAAGGTGGCCTGTGTTCACTGCACAGCAGCTGCATGGCTCCCACCAGCAGAAATTACCCCATCAGTGAGGTTAGGTGTCACTCCTGAAGGAAGCCCTAATTCCAAATGAGCCTTGTTTACAAGATATAATATAGAGAGGCCTTCTCCTAACATCTAAGTGACCTTCCCCCACAAAGAAGCCAGTCTAGGAGACCACCCACAAGTAACAATGCTACCATGACTGACAACAAGGGACACCTAAGCTTGTAGCACCTTGACTACCCTTAGGGATGGTAAACCTTTACTCTTCAAGGCTGTAATTCATCCTGCTAACAATTCAGTAATTTAAGATCAAATCTTGGGAGCGAGGTGGTATGAGCAAGGTGGATACTATAGATTTTCATCAACCACCAAGAGCATGGCCATGGAATAATGACCAATTTTGCCTGGTTCACAAACTGGTTCCAAAACTGACTGCAGAGAAACAAAAGTATTCTGAGCAAAACAGCGTGTTTAGACTAAGATCTACAATTTATTGGGCAAATCTGCAAAGCACTGTGCATCACATACATTATCACAACTGTTTCTCATGGAAGCCCTATGAGGTAGGTATTGCATCCAGATCTTAGAGAGATACAATAGTTTCAGAAAAACAAGCTGTCTGCTCATGATCACACTGCTAGCAAGAAGCCAAGCCATAGTATGATCCTAGTCTGTCTCACACACCAGGACGAACTAACAGATAAAACTTATCTCCATGTATGAGAGAGAAGAGAAGCAGAAACACTTCATTTTATAATCACATGTAGTATCAGTGTCCTCACTGTCTGAGAAAAGGTGTCTCTAAATCACCTGCCAGTTTATTGATTCTACTAATATGTCCCCAGACATGGCATTATCAGTAGAAGCTGGGCGACAAGCATTCTAAAACAGAACACACACTGAAATGGGGCTTTACCTATATTTAGTGCAAATTTCAGTTTTAGGATGTTAGCTTATGGCTACACCCTGCATAGATACGTATAACAAATAACATTAGGTTCAAGGCTACCATTGTAACAGCAAAAGGCAGGAAACAACCTAGCTATTCACCAGTAATGGGTTACACAAATAATGGCATATTCATTCAATAGAAGCTTATGCAGCCAAAAAAGCAAAGATACCTTGTTCCTTACATACTG